GAGAATAACACTGGATACCATGCTTATTTCGTTTCTCATCTACCACACAGAACAGCTCTGTGTTGTAAGCACAGAAAGCACACTGCCTCCTTCTGTCTGCAGTCACCTGGCTATGTAGGAGAATGAATGCCAAGGGAAAACGTAAAGACTCCTGCCATGATGATCCAGGCTTCAGTGACCATGTTTGCCAGTTTCCTCTCTGATGCTATTTGATGCAGCCCTCCTGAATATTTCACTCTGTTGCAGTGCACAGCTCTGTGAATGCTCTCCTCATGCCTGCCAAAGCAGCTAAACTTTATACAACCTCTTAAAGAGCTCAATCATTGTATACAACTAAAGCAATCCTAATAATAAGACTGATCTCAAGCAGGATTTGCTATTTATACATAAACAGCCATAAATATAAAATCTGGAGACCCCTCAGCTCTGCCAAAAGCTGCACAATATGGTACATTTCACAGCTTTCCCAGATTTGATGGGGTGATGGTAGCAGCAAGGACCTCTGCTGGGCATGTTGTTATGTGTATATGTGTTCATTAATTTTGTTCTGTACAGCTAAGTAGTATAATAATAATACACGTTCAGTATTGATGGGGAGGATCTTAAGATGTTTCTACAGAAGAAAATACTGCATACCTCATCATGGGGAAAAGATACACATTCCTCAATAAGCCAAAATATTATAGTCGTATAGGAGTTTACGGAGAGAGAATTTTATAAGTGCTCTTTAAAAAAGATACTTAATGTTAAAACACATCACTTACATGGGCAGACAGGGCAGAACAGAACACTCAAACACTCAAAACTTCACCCACACTGAAGAACTTTATAACTGTCCATGGGTATAGTGGCCAAAGAACATTTTTGTTTAAATTAAATCAGCTAATGATCAAAACACAAGACTCAGTATGTTAAGACCAGACTTCCCTAAAGTAAGTCATCATTCCCCCAAAAAAATTAAAAAGAAAAGAACCCATGCTTCCTCTCTTATTGTTCTGCAGAAGCCGTCCGTGGCAACAGACCTACATAGCCACTCACCACTGGCACTCAAAACACATTGTGCAGGGATATTGCTGGGGGCAATCTCATGGACATTCTGATAATGACACCTGAAATAAGCATTTTTTCAGATGACCTAAAGTTCTATAAGGAAGTGGGAGGAGGCCTTCTTTAAAGTTAACTGAGAGCCCAAACTAGCAGCTTGAATTTGAGACAGAAACAAAGTGGCAGGCAGCAGAGATCATAAAGAATTGGCATTAAATTATTAGCTCCAGATAGGGGCTGAGCTGCTGCATACAGTACTAGGTAAAGTTTCTCAACTTTCAAGAGCTCCCAAGCATATAGCACATCATGTTGCTAGGGAATGCATGACAGTAGCAAAGTCCTTAAGTCTCCAGAAGGAGTGTCGATGCTGAAAGAACATCATTCATCCCCCAGCTGACACTAGCAGCAATGCTGAACACGAAAAAGCTTAAGCAAGAGTGCAACCTTACCAAAGAGTAGCACTTCCCATATATAAATTAACAGGTCCACCCACCATCTGCATCTCTATATTTTATGGACTGAGCTGCAGTTTAGTCACTCTCATTCATTCCATTACACTAATGTTTCGAAGTAATCTACAGGTGCTGGGTATTCTAGCATATGGGGGGGGGGGAAGCACCCCAAACCCTCTAAGAACCTCACTTAGTGGTTTCATATAGCTGTTATACAGCACTGGACAATATGTAAGCTAGCAGGGTAGGACCCAGCAGGAAAATTTCCACCGATAAGAGCAATAGAATGGTAATCACCCCTAATATTGATCAGGTATATCTCAGGGATGCACCACCCTACAGGAACTAGCTTTTCAACAAATGCATGACATTTGTTTATTTACTTGAAAAATTTCTACCTCACTGTCCAAACGCATGGTCCCCCAGAGTGGCTTACAACTTGCAATGTCTACATAAACTAATCAGGACAATCAAAACTATGAAACCTATTAGGGCACAGAAAAAGCAGAAATACTTTACTGAGATACCTTTCAAGAATTACAGTAAGCCCTAACCTAGATAGCTCAGGCAAGCCTGATCTCGTCAGATCTCGGAAGCTAAGCAGGGAAGCTAACCCTGGCAAGTATTTGTACGGGAGACCTCCAGAGAATACCAGGGCCGGGAGGCAGAGGCAGGCTACCAAGCCACTTCTCTGAATGTCCTCTGTGCCCCAGTAGGAGTCGCCAGGGGTCGCCATGACTTCCAGGCATGGGCACATGCACACCCATACAAATGCAAAAATACCAGAAAGGAAAAAAAGAGAATCACAGTAAGGTGCCACAGAGCAGGTAACACAGTCATGCCTAATCTTCATTTATGCGCTACTGCGTTAAGAAGTATGGATAACTGTAATTCTCTGTACAGCATCTTCCTTTTATTCTTTATACTAAGAAAACTAAGCATTTTGGAACACAAGCCCCCCTCCTAAAAATACTTGCACTCCCATGCCCTGCATCTTACTAGTCTCATTAGATTTGGTTGACTGACTCATACACTCCTGTATACCCTACCTGTCTTTCCTTACTCCAATCACAATATAATCTCTTCAAAACCACTTCACCTCCGGCCTTAAGGTACGTAATGCCTTCAGCAACAAAACTCTCATAATCTTACTCTGCTCATTTAGTAGTTCCAAAACATCATGAGCCATACTTTAGGATACCTTGAGCCTTGATTTTTGTTATTAAAAAACCCGACCTCATTACTAATAAGGTAAACATTATGCACACTTGTAATAAACCTAGTGGAAGTGTTGGAAATTTCATTTTCCTATGGGGACACTGTCTTACACTCACTTTTCACTAGATCTTGCTCTGCTCATTCACCAGTCTTTTGGTTTAGATGAAAGGAAGCATTTCCAACAACCCTGGCACAGAGTTGTGAGAAACAGACAGAAGGAAATGCACCTGCTTTTAGCAAGTGGAAAATTTTTGAGCAGTGAGGTATCTGAAAAAGCTGACCGCTAATGTGCTGTATAAGCCCCCGAATGAAGCACTAGAGCTTTGCTTGTGGCTTGGCAAATGCAGCCAGAGCCTCCCGGAAAGAATGTCAGTCAAGTGTTGCAGAAAATGTACTAATGGCACCATCTAAGGGTATTAGACTGTAGTACACATCTTTATGGCAAAAGCAAATCTTGAATACAGCTACAGCCTTAAACCATGCACTGCAACACCAGAATATAGCAACTTGGCTTACAAACAGTGCAAACGATGCAACATTTCTTATTTTGCACCTTGTGGAATGGCCTGCCTGAGCAGAGCAGGAAGACTCTTGAGCTTTTGTCATTCCACAAACTATGTAAATCGAAATTGTTCAGGAGGGCATTTCTATAAAGGTAGTGGGGCTACATTGTAACAGAATGGTTCGGGAAGCCCTAACTTAGAGTCTCGTAAAAAAGTGGACTATAAATACAATAAATAAATCCTATGTAGTTACTCTCTACTCTACACTCATGGAAATCTATAGGCTTAGAGTGGAATAACTGCATAGGATTGCACAGTTACTCATCATTTCCTTCCTTTTATATCCATTCTTCTATATTGTACTTTTAGTGTTGTATATACTTCATAAGTCAATGCATCATGTATCCTTTTATACCTTGGTTCTGCTCTGAGTTTCCGGTCAGAGAAGCCCACCAGCTTGAAATTGGAGCTGTATTTAAACGGGAAGGCCTCAAGAGTCCCACTGTCCATGTAAAACGTCCCACAAAGGATGGTGGGGGAGTTATCCACTCCTTCCTAGCCACTGATTCTCCTCGCACACATACTCTGCGCTGTCACATGTATCAAATACAACTGGAAGATATGGAGTCTTCACCCAAGTCCCCTCAACCATGTATAGCAGCATCCCATGTACAAGGTGAAGGAAGGGAGCCAGCACTCTTCTGTTCAGGTCCATCCACAGGCCAACACAGACCGCATGACCAAGAAACACCTCCTACTGTTGAGGTTATGACTCCAGACAGTGTCCTACTTCAAGCCTGGAGGGCAGGAGATGTGCATGCACAAACTGCCCACTCAAAAAGCAAAAATTACAATTCTACATCTAGTGGTTTGGAGGGCATAACACGGAGACTGCTTCTGCAAGCTGCGAGCAGTGCTTATATGCCTCAGCAACAAGCTGGTCACCCAAACAGGCAAGGCAAGAATCATGATTTTTTAATTTGGGAAACTTGGTACCACATCTGACATGTTTCTTGAAAACGGCTTCCCTTGCCATGGCACTGGAAGAGGTGAGGATGTTAAGGAAATGGAGGGGGGAAATCACAGGGAAAAGGAGAAAACTTGACAGCAAGAGCAGTAATAGAACTTATAGAACTCTCCAGTACAGGAATCCTTTCCTGCTCTTGCTTTCTGATTGGTTAGAAGGGAACTATGTAAGAAAATGTGGGCTCTGCCTACTCACCCCATGCATGGGACGCTCCTGCATAAGGTTGAGTAGGGCCAGAGTTTTTGGTTTTTTAGGGGTCCCTGTCTGGACAGCTGCATTCTTACATATAGGGAAGCTGCATTCTCATATACAGGAATACACAGAAGTCACAAAGAGTATTGCTCTTATGTCAAAGGAAAATGTGACAAACTAAGCGTTTAAAACATACTCCATCTCCTAATCTTTGTCTGATCTTTGTCTGAATGTTCACGCATATACTTGCTTCAAATGGATGTTCAACTACCTTTGCAATCAAGAGACTTGGGTATGCAGAGATTATTGTGCCGTAAAACGACACATGGCTTGATGGCAAAACTCAAGATCTGCTCTAACCCCAATATGAAGCCTAGCTTGCAAATCATTCTCAGACTGCACTTCATTGCATCTGTGAATTTCCTGTTCAGTGACAAATCCCTGTACTATACACCTACTATGCCATCATAAAGGGCAGAGAAAGCAAAATTACAGTTCACAATTGCATCCGGTTTTGCTGTTAATATCCGTATTGGGTGTAAAGTGGATATAATGTGCACTGACCTGTACTTCCCCGTCCGTACTTGGAGAGCTCTCATGCCACACTGCTGAGCGCCTCCTACATCATTCACAATATCATCTCCAATCATGATGGCCTGCCACAGCAATGAAATACAGACAAAAGTGGTGTCAAGTGCATTTGATTCCTGTCATACTTCATCTTCCTTGACATAATAAACTGTTTTATTTGATGTTTAATACAGCCATCATACAAATTAAACAAGATAATATTGTCACCGTATTGATTAAAAGTCAGACTACCTTGAATATAATTCAACTTCCACCTAGGCAAGCTACACGGCTGAAAGGTAAATATTCAGTCAATGTGAAAACCATTGGAAGAATCAACACATTTTTGACACAATACAAAGGCGTGCTGACATGTCAAGAAATTCCCATCACCCTTTTCAACTATTAAGTGGTTAATTTCCACCCTTTCATTTAATGCTACTATGTCTGTCTCTCTCCCCCTTTTCCATCAGCCTGGATCCATCTTTCATCAGGCTATCCTTTATTACCCAATAGGGTGTTGTTGTAATTATTTCTTTCATTTGTATCTAAAAATCTAATTAACGTATGAATAGAAAGGTATTCTACATGTTGCAAGGCCATATCAAAAGATCTGTCAACATTTTCTGATTACTGTATTCAACTTTTAGTACGCTTTAGTTCCCGATCATTTATTTATTGTACTTTCATATTTTCCCCCAAAGATCAACTCCCAACACAGTTTTTACAAATAGATATACAGTAATACAAATGTTATCATCAGCAAAATGCTCAAGGAGGGAATTCTCAATTAGGCCTCATTCCAGGCATGATGGGAAAGGTGCCTGCCTGGCTGCTGCCTCTTCTCCCTCTGACTTCATTTGTGGCAGTTTTTAAGTGGGGGCTCTCCATCGGAACTAGATTCAGGCACAAGAGAAGGACACCTAGCTGTCCCTGCTTCTGCCTCTGGCCTCGGCAATGGCAGTTGGTAATGGGGAAGAAGCTGGACCTGATCCACACACAGTTGAGGCCTGGCTGCTGCCTCTTTTCCCTCTGGCCTCAATGACGGAAGCCAGTAGCTACAAGCAATCGAAAGCAATCCTGAAAGTTTCACAACAGTCCTGAATACGTGTAATGGGATGGATGACGGTGAACAAGCTGAAACATAGTCCTGACAAAACAGAGTACTCTTTGTTGGTAGAAAGGCAGACCAGGGACTTCAGGTCTCCTAAGTCTTGGGTGGGGTTACACGCCTCTTGAAAAGTCAGGTTTGCCGCTTGGGAGTGCTGCTCAACAGAGTAGTCACCTTAGGAAATCAGGTGGCTGCTGTAGGAGTGCTTTTGTCCAGCTTCAGCTGGTGCACCAGTTGTGCCTGTTCCTGGCTCAGCCTGATCTAGCCACAGTGATCCATTCTTTTCTCTTTTTTTGGTATTTTTTGTAATTTCTTAATATGCGTGTGCGCGCGCGCAGGCATGTGAGCATGTGTGCACCTGGACGTCATGGCGATCTCTGGTGACTCTCTCTGTGTGCACCTGGAAGTCATGGCAACCTCTGGTGACTGACCTCTAATGGGGGCTTGGAGGATATTCAGAGAGGTGGCTGAATAAAGCCTGCCCACACCTGCAGTATTTCAAGGAGGTCTCCCATCCAAGTATCCAGGTCAGGGTGATGAATGATCTATTCTTTAGCTACATCTAGACTAGACTACTTCAATGTGCTCTTCTTTGGACTGCCCTTGAAGAGTGTTCAAAAGCTACAGCTAGCACAGAATGCTGCGGCTAGATTGCTGTTTGGGGCCACTTTTTGGGATCAGGTGACCCCATTGTTACAGCAATTACACTGGCTTCCAATCCTCTCCCAAACCCTACTCAAGATGTTGGTTTTGACCTTTAAAACCCTATATGGCTTGGGACTGCAGTACCTGAAGGACCATCTTCTCCCATGTTTCTCCACAGGTACAAAGATCACAGAGAGAGGCCCTCTTGACTGCCCCATTGACAAGAGAAGCCCATGTGGTGGGTACATGAGAAACCCATATGGTGGGTACACTGCTTTTTCAGTGGCAGCCCCACATTTATAAAATAACCTCCCCAAGGAGGTGTGCCCGGCCCCCTCACTCTCGACCTTTAGGAGGCAGCTGAAGGAGGTTTTATTCAGGATACCGTTCCATTAATTTTAGTTCTTCACCCTACCAGCAGTTTTAAATTATTTTAAATTATTCATTTTAAATAAGTGGTTTTATGCATTTTATTTTGTTTTACTGACATTTATATTGTTAAGCTGCCTTGAGTTCCTGTAAGGTAGAAAGGTAGTTAATAAATATTTTAAATAAACAAAAAGAAATAAAATGTACTAGTAGAATATGAACTAGGGTTACTGCAACAGCCTGCATGAAAGAAACCAAGGAGGTATGTCACCCTATCGTACCTACCATCAGATTTTGTGACAATACGAAGGTCTTTATAACCTTGCATCGATGAACTGTCCCCAGTCCTGATTTTACCCTGTCGCATCTCTACCCAGTGATTTTACACACGATCCATCTAGAGGAAGTGGCTATTCCATGTGACCTGCCACTGCTTGGAGCTGATGCATCTTTCTAAGCCTGCTTGCAACCCCATCATACCGAAAAGGTTTGGGCAGTACAGCATCACAGCAGCAGGTATGGCTGATTAAGCACTACTTTATCAATGCATTGTCTCTTGGGAACATAAATGTTTTAACAGGGGTAGAAAAACATTTCAGATTTTGGGCTCAAATTCAGAAGAATCTGGTCCCAAGGAAGCTGTACCCACCACTGCCACTCCCAGTCACCTGCATTTAAAATCTAATAAATATCTCAGTGCCCGCATTTCAATATTATAAAGTGGGATGTGGGCACACCTTTATGGCTTTAGAATGCCCCATCACAAGGAAACCAGAGAGGTACTGCATCACTTGCTATTGTGAATTCAAGAACATTCAGGCATGCGTTTTTAATCATGTAATTGTACTCACTGATGCATTTACAAGAGTTAATTCTACTTGGAGCTGACCCAGGTGTGCATCTGCATCTGCACTGACTGGTGCATCCAACAAACTCAGTGGGGTTGGATGAGCATCCTAATGTAGATGAGCATCCATAATCCCAGTTCCAGAAAGAGGATTTCCCTTGCATTCTTCTTCACTTATTATCACACATCTTTTTAATAACAGTTTCTTACTAAAAGGGCTCAGGACAATGAAGTGGTAACAGAAACTCCACCGGTTGTGAAGGAGGAAGAGGCAGCCACAGTCAATATGCCTCACCACAAATGTTATCATCGTTTCATAGAGAATTTCATATAATTCAGCATAGTTTCATATTATTCAGCAGCATATGCAGAAAACAGGAGATACTGTGTGAGTATTCAGATACTGTTGTTCCAACATGAGATTCCAAACTTAACGGAATTGGAAGGAGTCCCACTTGTGACCTACCGAACTGGGTAGTCCACTCTTGCAGAATCAGTGCCGAACCTTCCACCAGATCAGAAGCCTACCATGGCTTTTGTTATTTGGAAACATCGTTTTCATTTAATCTGTGATCTATACAACTCTGAGGAAGTCCTTTACAAAATGGGGGACTTAAAAGATGACTTCCAAAGCTTCCAGCCCCTTGATGCAATTAGCAAGGATGCTTGCTTTCTAGTGAAATACTGCATGCTGTCTGTACAGAAGTTTTCATATGAGAAGATCATCCACACTGAAAGTGCAGCTGCACATGAGCAGCAGTGCCTATCCAGGCCAGCTTGTAGCATACGCATACAAAAATGTACTCTGGCCCCCTGGGATTTCACAGATTTACTATCGGTGAAGGGCAATAATCACTAAAGGAGGAGCAATTATTCCCAAATCATTTAGGATTTAAAAAATCATTGGCAAGAAGATAGAGGTCAAGAGGTGGAGTGTCAAGGGAAATAAAAAACTCTACCTGTCAAACCTAGGTTTAACTTCCTCTCTGACTGCAATATAGTAAGAAAGGGAGAAAAATAGAGGGAGAGAGAAAGATAAAACTGAAAGGTCACAGACTTGGTGAAGGCCGGAATTAAAAAGATCTCCAGTTTGTCCTCACATTTTTACACAGAAAGCTCAATTCTTGTTTACTCCAATTAGCGTACAGAAATAATTGGAAACAACTGAAAACCTCATTCAAGTCAGAATGCGCTGTGCAAAATATCAGACCCTCTCCACATTTTCACAAAGATTGAAGAGCCCCCACACATTTTAAACGTACACACATACACACAGATGGATATTTTCTTGATAAAATTATTGCTACAGAATTGCAGGGTGCAACAGCATTGGTTTGGGGTGACCAGTTTACCCCTCATGTATTCAGATGAGCAAGGCAGAGTGTGGTATAGTGGCTAGAAAGCCAGACTAGGTTCTGGGAGACCCGGGTTTAAATCCCCACCGTACCAAGGAAGCTCACCGGATGACACTGGGCTGATCACCCTCTCCCTTTAACCCTCCTCATAGCACTGTTATTGTGAGGATAAAATGGAGGAGAGGAGACTCATGATGCAAGCCCCTTTGGGTCCCACTGGGGGGAAAGGTGGGATCCAATGAAATAAATAAAATATAAATATCAAAATAAAATAAATAACAAAGTCATATATAATCAGAATACTCACTCTGAAAATGATCACAAAGGCATGGGAATACTTTGCCGACAGACCCAAGGAATACAGACCAGCATCGGACTGTGGGCAGAGCGAGTTCAAATCTCGTCTTAGCCATGCAATTTACAAATGGGCCAGATGCTATCTATCAGCCTAACACACTTCACAGCATTAATAAAGATAAATGTAGCAGCAATTGTAAAGCGCTTTATGCAATGTACAGGGTACATAAATTGATAATAAATCATCTACTTTAAGGAGCTAAGACTGTACTAAATGCATTAGGAAAAGAAGAATAAGCATCTTTATCAGACCCTGGCTAGAAGAAACCATTTCTGAAGGCTATTAATACAGTTATTTTTGTTTCTTTTAACTTATATTCTGTACTTCCTCCAACGATCTCTGGGTGGCTTACGTATGGTTTCCAGGCAGTGTTGTGTCCAGGTTGTTTAGAGGGTCAGGCT